TTGTATGGGGGGGGAGTTTACTTTATAGTAAATGGCAAAGATGTTTATTTCAATCTTGTGTGTTTTGTTTTGAGTGAAACTGCTGCCTATATCCTTTAATGGTAAAATGCCACCCACACCCTTGACCTCTGTTACTGCTGTTCGAGGCTCACATTTTATTCTCAGACTTTCTGAGGAAATTCACAAATTGAATTTTTTTTATATATATATATATTATTACTCCCTTGTAAAATATCTCTTAAATTAAGGTACAGGTTTGATTTCAGCAAGGAAAAAAAGGTTTTTATATGTATATTATACTCCATTAAGGAATGTCTAGAATTATCTTCCTCCAATGTGGATGTAGCCATTAATACGCCATTTTATGACTTTGTAAGAGAATTCACTGTGTGAAAATTGGTTTGCATTTTTGTATAATACAATCTGCTTTTTTTTTTTTTTTGTTTGTTTGATACGAGAGGGATCTCAAACTGGAAGTTTGAAGAAAGGAAAAAGAACCTGTGAAATTGAGAAAACAAAATGTAACTTATGTGCAACAGTGATTCTAAGCTGAGGGGAAAAGATTAAATGATATTGCTAACTGAGGAGTTTCCTTGTCCTTCTTTATCCTTAAACATACAGTCCATTATGTAAAATGATTGAAATCTGGTTTCCTGCATGGAGAAACTTAAAGAGTTAAAGAGTGGCCGATCCAATATCTATCTTTCTGTATAATGTGTAAAGCATACACCCACTTCTAGATAATTAAACTCACGAAATAAGGTATATTTTCAATGAATTTCTGCAAAAATATAAAACCACTGTTATAATTACAGACAAATGATCTGGTTAATCGTCCAAAATATCAAATTGGTTATTAAATTAATGGGTATTATATGGATACTTTAAGACCTATTACTTCAACTGTGGAATTACTGCAATAATTGTTTAAGTTAATCAGCTAAGAACTATATACTTACCGGTAAAATGTAAAGATAAAATAAAAGTTGAATTAAGTTTGACTTCATATGGAGTTGACAGGTGGTTTGCACAGAAAAAGTTGCTACTGGAAGGGACTTTAAAAGTTTTAAACAAGGAAAGGTTGTGCATGTTACATGGTTCATTTTAAAAGCAAAACCTTCCTCATCCATCATTTCAAAAAGTATTTTTATAATCTGTATTTGTTTTCTCATGAATCTTTAATCCACATTTGTAGGATCCCAAGTTACGTGCCGTCCATCTTGTAGGCCTCCTAAAGTAGCCATGTCTTCCTCGTCCAGCTGGAAGCCGAATACCTGTAAGAGAAAAAGAGTTAAATGACTAGTTGGTAAAGTGAGGCCCCTACTAGTTGCCTTTGGTTAAAACCATGTAATTGCATACTTGTGCAAAAAAGGTGTACACCTGACTCGGTCAAACCTCATGATGGGGGAATGAGTCATGTCAGGTGTGAGAGAACCATACACATACGCATGTTCTTCTTCCTTTGGAGAAGCTCCCTTTTCTTTAGAGCTGCCTGCCCCCTTTACACACTTGGGGGTCTGAGGATCTCCTCCTAGGTCTGTTCCCCTTAGGGGGATTGGCCCCAAGATGCAGAACATAATATTTGTATGAGGAGTGTAAGAATATGTCTAGTGTCCTCCTGTGCGCTTCTCTGTCAAGTGTTGGTGTATATGTCCATAATGTTGCAAGGGTGGGATTGTGTGAATGTTACTGGATGAACGTGTTTGCCTCCTCCCACGTTGTAGGCCCCAAAAACGTGCAGGTGTTGTCTATTTTTGCTGTTTTGTTTTATTTTCTCTCTTTTCTCTTTCTCTCGTTTAGTGAAAGAAAAATGCACAATGGTCACAAAAATAACTTGGATCTGACAAAGGTAATAAAAGTTCTATGAAAATGAGTAAATCAGGCAGAAAATAAGTTATCCATTATGCTTCAACAGAACGTTTATAATAAACTAAAGAAACAGGCCTGCATGATTTGTTTGTAGTTACTCTAAAGTGAGTGTAAAGTGCATTGAAATTACATATGTTGTAAATTCACACAATGTCAATAAACTATTGCACTGAGCATGAACAGTTTAGATTAAATGAATTTAAAGCCCATTAAAAGCAATCCATCAGATATGTTGCCACTCTGAATGGACATGAATAAGGCTGGAAAAAAACAACAGGCCTAAAACTCACTTGACAGTTTTCCTGTATCCTGTTCTTTTTGGTGGACTTTGGTATAGTGACAACTCCATTCTAAGAGTAAAACAGTAAGAGTAAGAGTAAAACAGAAAATAAGTGGTTAAAAACATATTTTAAAAAAAAACCTCACTAAATGTAGTAGCCATAAAACAAATGAGACACCTGAATACTCCAGCGAATGCAGATCTGAGCAGCCGTTCTTCCATGCTTTTTTGCAATTTGCTGTACAACAGGATTATTGAGCACTTGACCCTTAGCTAGGGGACTGTAGCCTTCAAACACTATCCCACCGCTTCGACAATATTCCATTAGACCCTTGGGCTGCTGGTAAGGATGATACTCCACCTGATAAAGTCAGTTAATAAACACAACAGTGTTTTAAAGCATCCGTGTAAAAAACATTCAATTGGGGAGTCATCATTTTAATACTTCACTAAGCCTGAAATGTAAAAGCAGTAGTTGTTCATTTCTGTTTATTTCTCAGAAAAATTTGTTTAAGGGCAAGAAAAAGAAAAGAATCTCCATTATCATTTTTTTTTAGCAATAGAGCTCTTGGATCTCAGCAATTTATAAAGCAGAACTTCAAACATTGTGTAAACTGTTCTTTAAGAGGCCATTCAGGATTACATTTAGGTCTAGGATCAACTTCTGAGCTTTGGCGTGGACTGTCATTATTAAAGAATAAAATAACTGAAACTATGGGAGAATGACCTGGTTAACGTGGGGCACCACACTACAGTCTTCTTTCAACTGTTCCAGGTGATGGACCAAAAAATTGCTCACCCCAATAGCACGGCAAACCCCTGCAATGAAAAACTCCAGTTTAGGCAGTATTAATATTATAGGGAGCAATCTGGGTTGTGTACTGGCTGTAGCACAGAGAAAATTCCTGAAGACAAAAGAGAGCACAAAGGTTTGTCACGGGGAAGATGGAGAGCTAGCTGAAAAAAGAAGTGGAGTCAGTGAATCGTTTTTACCTCTTTTATAAAGGTCCTCTAGAGCCCTCCACGTCTCAGCTCTCATCTCTCTGTTAGGACAACCAGGTTTTAATGATTCAGGCCAGTGCATCAGGTACAGATCTGAAAAAACATGGACACCTTTTAAAGGTAAATGATAAAAATGTAAAGACACTTTAATTAGAAAATTTGTTTTACAAAAGCTCTCTCTTCCCATAGCTTTAATAGTTGCACCTCATACCAAAATATTCCACTCCCATTGCCCGGCAGGAATCTATGCATGCTTGTTGTGCGGCTTTGTAGCCATAGTCCCCAGGCCAGAGTTTATTGGTGAGCCATAGATCACTTCGAGGGAGCCCACTCTCTTTGATGGCGTCTCTGAGCTTCTCCTCACAGCCGTAGCGCTTTGCTGTGTCCAGGTGGCGAATGCCACAGTCAGTGAGAGCATACATAATGGCATCATGGGAGTACCCACCATCATGAGATGTACCTGACAGATGAGCAAATAGGAATCTTATCTTAAAAGAAGATTTCTTTCATTTAGTGTGGACTATTGTTCTTTGTTTTTCATCAAAAAAGTAAATAGCGGATAAAATTCTAAGTAGTCAATCAATGATTTAAAGACTTTCTATTTAAAATATTTTAAGGTGTAGTTTTGATAATGACACACAATAGCAAAAAGGAGCAGCTTATCCAAGTCTGGCAGAAAAACATCTACTGTTTAACAGCTAACAGTCTAAATACGTTTTTAAGGTGAGAGAAAAAAACACACGGTGAGAATAAAGTAGCTTGAAATGCAACTGTTTAAGTATTCATCATACTTTGAATGTTTCTTGAGACCAGTGATGTCCCGATCCGTTACTGATATTTACAATGGCTGACAGATTCAAACGCCCATTACACTATAGATATCGGATATAGGTCCGATATTAGTAAAAAAAAACTTAATAAAATATCAAAACCTAAATATATCAGCCTTCCTCTATAATCTCTATTATTATAGTAATTGAATGTTATTGATCTCACACATTAGAAATGTACCTCTACATTTAACCCATACCCATACATAGCATTGGGCTGTCATTGTGTGGAGCCCGGAGAGCAGTGTGGGGTTAAGGGTCTTACTCAGGGGTCTTGCTCAGAGATACTAGTTAAGAGGAAATTAATTTTTAGGAAAACAGTTTTGTAGTAAAAATACAGTTTGTTTGAAAAATCTCACATCTAAAAACCCACAAACTGTTTGATTAAGTCTAATAAAAACTACCACATTACATTACCTAACCCTACATTTATTGTATTTTGATACAATATCAATTCTGGTGCAAGGCTGTAATGGACCTCAGCTGTAAACAACATGCATTCTTCTTTAAACATCTGTTTGTAAATAATGCACATGTTAATAGTGACTGAAACCTCAATGATCATGTCCTAAATGTAAACTCATACGCACCTAATCCAAGTATTGGGATTTCCACTCCGTTAGACAATTGGACTGTGGGACAGCTCAGGGTTGGTGGCAATAAATACATTCTTGGTTTAGAAAAGTTAGTCTTTAACCATTCTACGTTAACAGATGAGAGAAGTAAAAGACCCACCCGATTCACACTGGAAGGGCTCCGTTTATTTAATATACGAAATCGTAAACTCACCAAAGTTTTGCTCGGGTTTGGAGTGAACCATCCAAAATAGATTCACCTCTGGACTCCTTTTCTCTTTCATATTCTTTGTTTTCTCTTGAGAAAAAAATAACCTTAGCTGTTCAAAGTTACTTATTGTATCTAGTCTGTTTCAGCTGTTAAAAGAAGGTCATCTCCTCCCTTTTTTTATTTATTATTTTACGTTTTCTACCCCATTTATCGGATCAGATGGTTGCGTCATAGCTACGCATCCAATATGGCGGCTCAGTAAAAACAAACTAAACTATGAAAACGAGATGAGGTGAGTCTCATGATAGATAGGTACATGTCTATGGGGAGTAATATCTATATAACGGTTTAACATGAGTGAAAACGCCGCCATTATAAAATATGGACACAGGGAGCTGAACGGAAAGAAGCATTTTGGTCAAAGCTTCAGTTCGTGGCTGAGATTTTGGACCTTTTATAAAACAATACGCTTCTCGAATCTGGTTTGAATATGTTATCAGTGACGCTAGAATTACGTCTCGAAAATATTCTGGAGTATTTCTGAAAATAACGTTTTCTGAATACATTTTTTTATAAATAGCCAGAAAATGTTAATAAAGGTGGCCAGGCAATAACCACTGTACACTGAGGGGGGGCCCAAAGCACATAGGCGCCTCAATCTACACTGTTCCAACAGGAACAACCACAACATCCATGTTTTTTTTTTAATAAAAACTAACTATACTTTCCTACAGTCTTTATAGTAGAAAATAGAAATACAAGAAATAGAAATACGAATAGATGCATATATTTAAACATCTATGCGGTCTCAATTAAAATTCTTTCAAGTTTGAGCTCTGGGGCGAACATCTTAATCATTGTCATTCCTTATCTACTTTTATCAATAATTTTTATGCATACATTAAAATTTTATTAAATGGATTACTTATTATTTAAGTAGTTATTTATCTCTGATTTCAATGAAGACATTTAGGCTACGTTCACACTGCAGCCTGATTTGCCCCAAGTGGGTTGGTTAATCAGCTAAAGGCCTGTTTTACAGTCTCTATACTCCGTTTAATGATTCATCGATTACATAATTAGTTCATGATTATTTCAATAATTGATTAATCCCGATTCATCCGATTAATTGTTTCAGCCCTAGAATGTTTATTCCTAAGTTTATGTTTCAGTATTTATTTATGTCTACTGTTTTTTTGTTTTTTTTTACTGGTCTATGTACATTTTGAATACGTGCACTTTGCAATAAAGCGTTTTTTGAAGATAAAACAATGTATATTTAACTAAGTTTTCTTTTAAAAAAGCTGCAGCCATTTACAATCAGATTATCTTAATCCTGAAACCTTTCAGCTTCATTCTCCTTTTCTTTGCAGGCTTCTCCGTTGCTGCTTTGGGGTTCGTCGAAAGTTTATCATTTTCCCACTCCTGCTGATCCTCTTGGTGGGAGCGGCCTTGACAGCTCTGCTGCCTCCTGCCGAAGACCATGGAGGTGCTATTGGGGTCCTGGGAGTCCTGCGCAGGGCAGCGCCACAAAAAGAGAACCCCGCTCAGAGTTCACTTACAGACACTTTAAAGGAGGAGAAGTTTACCATCATCATCCAAACCTACAACCGCACAGATATTTTACTCAAGCTTTTAAACCATTATCAGGCGGTGCCTCATCTGCAGCTGATCATCATTGTTTGGAACAACATTGGACAGCAGACACCTGCAAAGCTGTGGGAATCCTTGGGTCCTCATCCAGTTCAGGTTATCTTCAAAGAACAGGCGAGCAACCAAATGAGAAACAGACTCCAGCTCTTCCCTGAGATTGCCACTAATGGTTAGTCTTATTTAACAACCAACAGCAAAAGATGGAGCTTAGGGACGTACGTTTACATACATCAATGAGTATATTTTTGTAATCTCTTATTATTAATACTTTCTAAATGTATGTATTAAAGCTAAATGGTTTCTCTTTGTATAAAATTGAACTGTTCAAAATTAGAGACCTGGAAGAAAAAAAATGGAAATCATTGTGCGTAAGGAAAAGACTGATTGGTAGACTTTGACTTGACATTATATGTCAACAGTTTTTATTGTTTTTTTATTCTTTTTTTTTTTTTTCTCAAATCCCTAATGATTTTTTTTTCAACCATTTAGCTGTCCTAATGCTGGATGATGACACTCTCCTCAGTGTTCCTGACCTCACTTTTGCTTTTTCTGTCTGGAAGGTAAAGTTTCATTTCCATGTTATATATTTGAAATGAAAGTGTCTGTTTGACTCAAATTGGCCTGGTTTGATGAATCAGCTGCACGATGTTGGCCATTTATTTACTATTTACTTTTTTTTTCTTCTTTTTTTTAAAATAGCAATTTCCAGACCAAATAGTTGGATTTGTCCCACGGAAACACGTCTCGACGGCTGCAGGTGTTTACAGTTATGGCAGCTTTGAGTTGCAGAATCCAGAAGTGGCTGGAGGCGACATGTAATATCTTCTCACATTTTTCTTTAAAATGTAGTGGAGGATGTTCTTTTTTTCTGGCTGGATCATCAAAATAAGTGGTCCTCTTAATTGTCAACCAATTTGGTGATGTTTTTAAGTAAGGCCTTCCTACGTGCTCGCTCCCATTTTCACCTAACTCTATGCTGAGAAATACCTGGCTGCTGAAAATGACCTCCCCTCTCGCACACTGATTAGAAAACAGTTTGAAATATAAACAAAAAGGGAACTTTTAAACTTATCAATGTCTTCATATTATGCATGGATTCCCTAAAATTGAGAGTTTTGGTCAGTGTTTGATTAATATATCCTCTGCTCAGTGGATAGCATTTCCCGCTTTTGCTATCAACACTATTCTATATAATTTCTGACAAAACATTGTTTAAACATTTTTAAAACTTTCCTTTTTCATTTATATTTCAATCCGCTTTCTCATCAATGTGCGAGAGTTTAGGTTGATGACCGGGGGCAATTCTCCGCAGGCAGGACCTTCTTGGCATTTATCTGTTCAATTTTAGGGCATCCATACATTAGAAATATGAGAATATTAAGAATATGTTTAAAAGTTCCCTTTTCATTGATATTTCAATCTGTTTTCTTATCAGTTTGCGAGAGGGGAGGCAATTCTCGGCAGGCATGTATTTCTCTGCATATAAGCGTTCCCCTCTCAGGAGCGGGTACAGGGATGTGCATCTGCATTTTATTGGGGGGGGTCTTTTAAAAATTTTGTGAAAATCCTCCACTATACCTTTTAAGTTTATCCTCCTGTTATTGACTTCTTGTTTGAATGCTTTGAATTTTTTTCCGTTCAATTTCTCTTGCAGGTACTCCATGGTTTTAATCAGTGCAGCCTTCTTTCATCGGCGCTACCTACAACTGTTTCAGGATCAGCCTAAAGAAGTCCACTCCTTAGTTGATGAAACCCAAAACTGTGATGATATCGCTGTGAATTTTGCTGTCGCTCTAGATTTAAGAAAACACTCCAAGTCAGGTGCAATCCAAAGACCTTCTGGGATCTTTGTCAAACCTGTTGACCTTCGCAACCTTGAAAAAGATGCCAGCAGTGGATTCCAGGGACTGTGGCATCGTCCTGAGCATTTTCTCCAGAGGTCCTACTGTCTCAACCGGTTGACAAAGATTTATGGCTTCATGCCGCTCTGCTACTCCAATCTCATGGTCTCCCAGTTTGGTTTCCCAAGCTACGCCAATCACAAGAGCAAAGGATGAGAAGTTAATATCTGTGTTTAAGGGTTAAGATAAGAGATGACACTCATTAGGTTGGTGGGCTTGTTTAGTTGGTACTACTTCACATGCCAATCAGCTGATGCCTTGAGGGCTATGTGACCTGAAGGTAGCTCTCATAGCAGGACACTGATGAAAAAAATCCATCTTTGATAAAGTAACTTAGTGGGTTGCAATAAATCGAAAATAGCAGTCACAGTAGGTTTAGAAATCTGACTGAATTATTGATAGCATTACAATATCGAGAAAAACCCATGCATGCTTTGACAATCATTTGTATTACCATTTATTATTGTAGAATGTGAATGAAATAAAAGATGTTTTTTCCTTAAACATGAGTAATGACTGATTTTTAAATATACATATAGAAATGCAGTTTGAAAACATGAGTTGGGGTCAAGATCTGAAGAAACATTCTGGGTTCAAATAATGCAATTCAAAATTTGCTGGGATTTAATCTGAAGTTACCTGTTAGGATAATTATAATTAATGTGTGAGTTTATTACACCCTGGTATTACCTGCCTATTGTGTGTGCTAGTTTTTTCCCCAAATAGTTTATCTAATCAGGACAGTTCCTCTGTCCTGATATACAGTTACATTCTTCCTTCTGTAAATGGCAAAGATTTGCGAATGGAATGAGAGCGGTGTCCTTCAGGTAAGAACAAAGTGTAATTTTTTGATAAGGCTGGAGCCATGGATGCCTCCTCATCTGCAAACGTGTATGATGTAATGATGTGATCCCTTTTTAGGAAAAAGAACCAGAGAGAGAAAGCCAAGGTGTAAATGCAGAGCTTTCCTTTAACACCTAAATTTTCCAATTTAAGGATTTGGTCCTCAAGGATGGTTTGTAAAACAATTTAAATGGTAATAAATAAAGGAATCACTTGTTTAATTGGTATCACAAATGCTTTGGTCAAAAGTGATGCATAATATCTTTTAAACAAAGAAAGTTAAGCCCCTAGCCATGGTAGATTAAGATAAAAAATTCCATCCATTTTGTTTTTTTCTGATACAGAACAACATGAGTGTCTTTTCAAAATTAAAGTAATGTCAGAATGGAAAATAAACTTAACATTAAAATAAAGAATGGCATGTTGAAATGAACCTGTCAATGATAAAATCTCTGGCATTACAACAATCAAGGCCTTATTTTGGCAACAGCTTTGATTTGACAGGAAGTGGTGTAAGGAGAGCTATGACCTCCAGCAATGGTTAACAAACTGAGACTTGAACCCGTCTATGTTGAGTAAGCCAGACCCCCTCCCCCAAAGCCATATTTGATTGCTGAGTAACTTTTAGGTTTCCACTTTAGTATAACAAATTATCTTGTTATACTGAAATCTTTAGCTTCCTCAACAGAGTTTCTGCTGGCATCACAGCTCAACAGAGCAATGTTTAATGATACATTTTCTGTCCTAAGTATGATTTATCTAACTTTAAAAAATCAACAATGTACAGGTTTAATGTCAGTTTCTTTGACGGACAACAAAATTATAAAAACAGAAGAACTAGGTTACTACTTGTATGTTGTGATGGAGTCAAAAAGTGAAAATAAAACACCACAGAATGGGAGGGAAGAATCCAAAATGACAACGTGGTCTCATAAATGTTCATGTATTTATTCATTAAAAATAATAGCCCACTCCCAACAGATTAAAAACATCCAAGTCTTTTCCGAGTTAGGAGAAATTCTGTCTCTAAAGGACTTTAGGCATCTTCAGGTAGTATTACTAGTGTCCTGGTCCTCCAGGGCCTCCACCACCTCGGACCCCTGAACTACCACCAGGCGTTGATCCCCTCCCACCTGGAGAGCGGAGATTATGCCACAGCTTCACGAGAGGCTCCCTCCTCCTCCAGATTAATTTGTGACCGTATGCCACATACCAGCTGTAAGACAAAACAGTTAGCCTGAGATTGCAGGAGACTACTCATTTTAAATGACATTTGCAAACCTCAAAAAAAAAAAAATAATAAAAATCACCAGATTAAAACTATTGAATAAGCTTTTTTAAATGCTCACAGCAATAGAAGTTGGGTTTTAGTCATTTAACCTGGGCATATATCCGAGTTAGAAAATAAAAAATCTGAGACTTACACTCCAAAAAGAGCTCCACCTAGGTGAGCAGCGTGATCAAACAGCCGCCATCCCAACATCAGTCCTGCTGTATCTATGGCAACAAGTGCTTTGAGAGCCTGAAGGCAAATAAACAGGAGGTTTTAATTAAAACCGATGTACTTGAATGCAGCAAAACAACAATCTCTCTGCCGTGCATTCAGTCATGCATACTTACACATTCACACAATCATACACTTGTTTGCTTTGCTCATGCACAGATTTACATCTTTTGCCTGCAGCAAAAAACACAATACAGGAACGAGAACACATTTAATGTAAGAAAAAGCAAACAACCACAGGATCTAAACATTCAGAGACTTGGATGCCTATAAAAACTGTGAAACACGTACATGTCCGGCCGTGAACGTGACCATAGGAAGGAAGATGATGCCTAGCTTGGCCTCTGGTACTTTTGTACAGACTGCAGCAAGTACTGCCATGACAGCACCTGACTGTGAAGGAAACAGTCACTGATTACAAAGTTTTTATCATTCAATGAAATATTGATAATTAAAACTTACCGCCCCTAACGATGGATAGAATCGTCCAGTGGCTGTTTTACAAACATAACTGACCATAGTGGAAATCACACCTAAAACCCCCAAAAAAAACAAACATCAAAAAAACATTTATTTTTATCCCCCTTCATGCACCAGAAATACAGCTCTGGTCAATATTTATATGCAGTTTATTTTGGATATGAATGCCATCTTAGTTTTGAGAATTTAATGAAGCATTTGAAAAGAAAAGTGCTTCTCAAATTGGAATGATACGATTTCAGTCATTAAGAAAATGATCAGAATTTAAATATGAAGCCCTACTCATCTTTATTAAATACTTTGTAGGAAACCCACCTGTCTTGAATGGAAAAGAAATCAAACTGAAAAAACACTTTTTTTTTTTTCCATTCAAATCAAATTAATGATGCTGGTGAAAAAAAAGTTGAAAATGGAGGCTCTTAAATTCTAAAAAAATCAAAAAACAATCTAAATTGTAATCCCATTCATGATGTATACTATTTTCTCCCTTGACATTGTCACATTTTAAATTCTGGATTTTCCAAGGCAATATTTACACTTTTGTGGCACCTAGTGGCCAGACTTCAGATTGCAATGTCTGTCTAAAAATACAACACATTAGATAGAATAATAAAACTTAAAACAGATGACAAAAATATAAAAAATGTGTGCAAGGCAAACTCTAGAAGTTTGCTTTGTTTGTCAAAAAAAAAGAAGTTACATGACCAAATCTAATGACCCTTTTCCTTTTCCAGAGGCTTTTCTAAGGCCTGTCCCTCTCCAATCAGCCAGCTTTACAGGCATTTTCATCGGGCCAGCAGCCGTGGCTGGCCCTGGGACAAGGTACCTGGACATGAACACGATGAAAATCAGTTGCAGATCCCCTTCCACATCCAAACTATTAGGACTGATTTTCTAGTATCAAGTGTGGTTTTGATTTGTAAGGGGTAAAGATAAAATAAGTTCATGTCTTTTAGCCTCGTAAACTAGCCCCACCCGTCAGCGGCCAAAATCAGTATTGCCTGCGAGTGGTCTAGCCTCGATCAATGCCCCAGGCCCAAGAACTGGCGGGCCAATCATAACGCAGAGATGTGTTTCGAAGTTTTAAATGCAAAGCGGGGGGGGAGCACAACTAGGAAGATGGCAACAACTATTGAACGGTAGCATGCACTGCGGCAGCAGCTGCTTTCAATGGAGCGCTCCATTGAAAGTTAAAAGTTCTCTTTTCTGTTGCTGTTGTTCAATGAAAGTACCACCGTACCTCCTAGGCTAAAGGCAGCCAGGGCAAAAGGCAGCCTGTCTTCAGCGGTCCTCTTTTGGCATTTTCGTGTTTGAAGGACCGCTGGCTCTGATGGCGATTTTTGACTCCGCTTTGGAATCTGTTTTGAAAGGATTAGACTTGGGGTTTTCGTTCAAAGGTGAGCAGGAAGAGGCTCTACGCTCATTCATTTTTAAGAAGGACGTATCCGCCGTTTTACCGACAGGCTGTTTGTTTACACTCCCCCACCAGCTTTCTATTGCGCTTACTATGTCACAGTCAGTTGCGCTCATTGGTCAGAGCGTTGGCCAATAGGCACAGACACAAGCCTTTTCTCAAGTCACTAGAACACGAGTACAGAGTCGTGTCCTCGCCAAGTATGTTCTTGAGAAGAACACAGGAAGGCGTGGACTTGGTGAGAACGGGAGCACGCAGCATAAATATGGGTCAGTTTGAACAGAAGCGTACTCGTGACGTCACCACATGCCCGGCTCCTCTAGAGCTGCACTTCACCTCCAATTATTATTAGTCTCTAGATTATAATAAATTATTACTTTTTTCATTTAGCGGGGGAATAATAATTAACAAAGTCAGATAAACACAAATCAAATGAACATTTTGCCAAATAAACAAACAAAAAAACAAAAAACAATCACCATCAGAGCCAGCGGCCCTTCACACACGGCTATGTCGAAAGAGGGCCGCTGCAGATGGGCTGTGGTTAGCCCTGGCTGCTGTTAGCCTCAGAGGTCTGCTGGTTACAGAGGTACTCTAAACTTCGGAAACTGTTTTTTTAGGTATGCATTAAATCGGTAAATGGACCATATAGTGATGCTTTAACTACAACAGCAACAGAATAGAGAAATTTTAACTTTCAATGTAGTGCTCCATTGAAAGCTGCTGCTGCCGCAGTGCATGCTGGGACAGCTGTCAGTCTTAAGAACGGACAAGTCTGCTCTGATGCATACTCGGTAAATAGGGAGGGGCGAGAACAACATGTTGGGACTTTGTCTGTTCTCGGTCTGCTGTTCTTGCGATTGGAACAGTACTAGGGCTGAGGGTGATGACGTTTCACGAGCACACGAGCACATGAGAACGCACAAGCACACATATTGAGAAACGGCAATGGTTTGAAAGACAACGTGTTGTTCTCATGAACGATCTTCTGATGTCTCATTCATCAGGGCCAGACTAAATTACACATTTAATCTCACATTTGGTTTATCAGGCTACATGTCTTTAGCATATGGACATAAAATAAAAACATATATTAAATAATAATTAATACTTCAAAAAACAATTTCATTATTTTTTTCATTATTTTTTTCCCCCCTTCTTCTAAT